TCAACACAATGCATTACAGTGTCCAGCACAATGCATCACTGTGTCAAAGACAATGCATCACTGTGTCTAACACAATGCATAACTGTGTCCAACACTAAACAACACTGTTCAACACAATGCATCACTGTGTTCAACACAATGGATTACAGTGTCCAACACAAAGCATCACTGTGTCCAACACAATGCATCACTGTTTCCAACACAATGCATAACTGTGTCCAACACAATGCATTACTGTTTCCAACACAATGCATAACTATGTCCAACACTAAACAACACTGTTCAACACAATGCATCACTGTGTTCAACACTATGCATTCCAGTGTCCAACACAATGCATAACTGTGTCCAACACAATGCATAACTGTGTCCAACACAATGCATAACTGTGTCCAACACTAAACAACACTGTTCAAAACAATGCATCTCTGTGTTCAACACAATGGATTACAGTGTCCAACACAAAGCATCACTGTTTCCAACACAATGCATCAGTGTGTCCAACACAATGCATTACAGTTTCCAACACAATGCATAACTGTGTCCAACACTAAACGACACTGTTCAACACAATGCATCACTGTGTTCAACACAATGCATAACCGTGTCCAACACTAAACAACACTGTTCAACACAATGCATTACTGTGTCCAACACAATGCAAAACTGTGTCCAACACTAAACAACACTGTTCAACACAATGCATCGCTGTGTTCAACACAATGCATTACAGTGTCCAACACAATGCATCACTGTGTCAAAGACAATGCATCACTGTGTCCAACACAATGCATAACTGTGTCCAACACTAAACAACACTGTTCAACGCAATGCATAACTGTGTTCAACACAATGCATTACAGTGTCCAACACAATGCATCACTGTGTCCAACAAAATGCATAACTGTGTCCAACACTAAACAACACTGTTCAACACAATGCATTACTGTGTCCAACACCATACATTACTGTGTCCAACACGAAACAACACTGTTCAACACAATGCATTACTGTGTCAAACACTAAACATCACTGTTCAACACAATGCATTACTGTGTCCAACATCATACATCAGTGTGTCCAACACTAAACATCACTGTTCAACACAATGCATTACTGTGTCCAACACTAAACAGCACTGTTCAACACTATGCATCACTGTGTCTAACACTAAACAACACTGTTCAACACTTTGCATCACTGTTCAACACAATGCATTACTGTGTCCAACACTAAACAACACTGTTCAACACAATGCATCACTGTGTCCAAAACTAAACAACACTGTTCAACACTATGCATCACTGTGTCTAACACAGTGCATTACTGTGTCTAACACTAAATAACAGTGTTCAACACAATACATCACTGTGTCAAACACAATGCATTACTGTGTCCAACACCATACATCACTGTGTCCAACACTAAACAACACTGTTCAACACAATGCATTACTGTGTCCAACACTAAACATCACTGTTCAACACAATGCATTACTGTTTCCAACATCATACATCAGTGTGTCCAACACTAAACAACTCTGTTCAACACAATGCATCACTGTGTCCAACACTAAACAACACTGTTCAACACAATGCATAACTGTGTCCAACACAATGCATAACTGTGTCCAACACTAAACAACACTGTTCAACACAATGCATCACTGTGTCCAACACAATGCATAACTGTGTCCAACACTAAACAACACTGTTCAACACAATGCATCACTGTGTTCAACACTATGCATTACAGTGTCCAACACAATGCATCACTGTGTCCAACACAATGCATAACTGTGTCCAACACTAAACAACACTGTTCAACACAATGCATCACTGTGTTCAACACAATGGATTACAGTGTCCAACACAAAGCATCACTGTGTCCAACACAATGCATCACTGTTTCCAACACAATGCATCACTGTGTCCAACAAAATGCATAACTGTGTCCAACACTAAACAACACTGTTCAACACAATGCATTACTGTGTCCAACACAATGCATAACTGTGTCCAACACTAAACAACACTGTTCAACACAATGCATAACTGTGTTCAACACAATGCATTACAGTGTCCAGCACAATGCATCACTGTGTCAAAGACAATGCATCACTGTGTCTAACACAATGCATAACTGTGTCCAACACTAAACAACACTGTTCAACACAATGCATCACTGTGTTCAACACAATGGATTACAGTGTCCAACACAAAGCATCACTGTGTCCAACACAATGCATCACTGTTTCCAACACAATGCATAACTGTGTCCAACACAATGCATTACTGTTTCCAACACAATGCATAACTTTGTCCAACACTAAACAACACTGTTCAACACATTGCATCACTGTGTCCAACAAAATGCATAACTGTGTCCAACACTAAACAACACTGTTCAACACAATGCATTACTGTGTCCAACACAATGCATAACTGTGTCCAACACTAAACAACACTGTTCAACACAATGCATCACTGTGTTCAACACAATGCATTACAGTGTCCAGCACAATGCATCACTGTGTCAAAGACAATGCATCACTGTGTCCAACACAATGCATAACTGTGTCCAACACTAAACAACACTGTTCAACACAATGCATAACTGTGTTCAACACAAAGCATTACAGTGTCCAACACAATGCATCACTGTGTCCAACAAAATGCATAACTGTGTCCAACACTAAACACCAGTGTTCAACACAATGCATTACTGTGTCCAACACCATACATCACTGTGTCCAACACTAAACAACACTGTTCAACACAATGCATTACTGTGTCAAACACTACACATCACTGTTCAACACAATGCATTACTGTGTCCTACATCATACATCAGTGTGTCCAACACTAAACATCACTGTTCAACACAATGCATCACTGTGTCCAACACTAAACAACACTGTTCAACACTATGCATCACTGTGTCCAACACTAAACAACACTGTTCAACACTTTGCATCACTGTGTCCAACACAGTGCATTACTGTGTCCAACACTAAACAACACTGTTCAACACAATGCATCACTGTGTCCAAAACTAAACAACACTGTTAAACACTATGCATCACTGTGTCTAACACAGTGCATTACTGTGTCTAACACTAAATAACAGTGTTCAACACAATACATCACTGTGTCAAACACAATGCATTACTGTGTCCAACACTTAACAACACTGTTCAACACTATGCATCACTGTGCCCAACACCAAACAACACTGTTCAACACTATGCATCACTGTGTCCAACACAGTGCATTACTGTGTCCAACACAGTGCATTACTGTGTCCAACACTAAACAACACTGTTCAACACAATGCATTACTGTGTCCAACACTAAACAACACTGTTCAACACCATGCATTACTGTGTCCAACACTAAACAACACTGTTCAACACAATGCATCACTGTGTCCAACACTAAACAACACTGTTCAACACCATGCATTACTGTGTCCAACACTAAACAACACTGTTCAACAGAATGCATCACTGTGTCCAACACAACGCATAACTGTGTCCAACACTAAACAACGCTCTTCAACACAATGCATCACTGTGTTCAACACAATGCATTACAGTGTCCAAGAAAATGCAGCACTGTGTCCAACACAATGCATCACTGTGTCCAACACTAAACAACACTGTTCAACACTATGCATCACTGTGTCCAATACAATGCATTACTGTGTCCTACATTGTGTTCAACACAACAACACTGTCAAACACAAAGCAACACAGAGTCATATATATAATTCATTCAAACATTTAATTAAGAATACGTTTTACCTTAGGGATAAGCTGGGCATTTAATAACTGGACCAACAACGTACAGCGTGGGTGACGCCATTTCTTGCAAATACGAAAACAACGGAGATAGCTCCCGTTTTAAATTAGAGTGACCTCCCTTTCCCAATATGAACCACTGATAATGCGGTTTCGCCATGGTTTCTAAAAAAGATTGCTGAAAATCACCAATCAGATCCACCATCCACATCAATTGCCTCCTACAAAGCACAGAGCATGTTCCTTGATCACCACACAACACTCACATGACACTGACTTGGCCATCTCACCGAGCGCTGTTCTTTTCCTCGCTCTCCCTCTTGATAAATACAGTTTTCTTTTTCATTTCGGAACCACCTCCACCTGGATCCTTTCTCTTCTTCTTTTCAGTCTTCTTTCCCCCATCAATGTTTTGTTTACCTCCATCAATGTTTTGTTTACCTCCATCGATGTTTAACCTGGGCCGTTCAGTTGGGTAACTGTCAATTGGTTTGGCCAGATGTTCCAGTATTTTGGAAACCCCTACTTTGCGTGGTTCTGTGGAAGAACCTGCGGAATTGGGCGCGATGCTGAGAGGACGGGAACTAAATTGCGGCAACTTCGGGACCCGCTCCGGAACAGTCGTTACATGCTCATTAAACTGGGTTGTCGGGGTAACAGTCACTGTGGCATTTGCCAATGCCTTTGTTGCAGAATCTACATGTGGTGAATTCAGCACTCGTTGACGCAACTTGGCAGCTATGGCTGAATTAGCTATTGATTTCACTGGATTTGTTTCTGCAGTAGAAGATCCAGACTGGGATTTAGAACTACTTTCCGGTCTGGATTTTGGAATGGGTGTTGATTTGGGTTTTGAATTAAGAAGTGTTTCTGTGACAGGATGAGAAGGTTGTTCCTTTGTTGAAGAAATGGCGTCAGGTATAGAGGAGGTAACTTGTGTGTCTCCATTGCCCATCTTCTTGGTTGCGGATGCTGTACATGTTGCACTTCCATCAGCCTGACGTTTGGTTTTCTTAAGTGATTTTTCAGCTGCAGTTTTTTTCAGACACATTCTGTGACTGCTGCACAGGCAGTTCTGCAAGCCTCATCGCGGGGGAAGGGGAAGCAATTTGGAAACGTCAGCCATATTTAATTCAGTGGATCTCAAACTAGGTGTTCGCTCAACAGCCTGAGCTTATTTATTACTGTTCCCTTTCTCCTAATCTTTTCCCTTAAACTCATCTGCTACCACAGAATTAAACTCGGGGGACCTGGACGCTGTCCTTGATACAAATGATGATGGCCTCTTTTCCATTACCACTGCCGTCTTGTCCATGATGCTGTTGCCAACGGTTACTCGGGGCACAGTTTCGGGAGGCTTCACAGCACTACTCTGAGTGAGGCTCACTTCATTGTCAGCAGCCAGTGATGAGGAAGCTCGGACAAACGTTGCCACGGGGGCAGTTTGTGCGGTGCCCTTCTGCTTGGTTGCGGGATTGCGGAGGGGAACAGCATGATTCCACACCCCGACTGCCGGGTCAGGCAGGTACACACTGACCTGCAACAACACAATACAACTTTCAGGAGTGAGCTTAACACTGCTTTGAAGCTTCATGTTGGAGGATTTGATTGTTTGTTGTTTAACAACACTCAACAATATTCCAGCTATATGAATAAATAATCGAACCTGGACCAGACAATCCAGTGATTGATATCATGAGCATCAATCCACGCAATTGGGATACGAAGACATGCATCGACAAAGTTAGTGAGCCTGACCACGCGATCCCGTTAGTCGCCTCTTACGACAAGCACAGTCGCCTTTTACGGCAATCACGGGTTGCTGAATACCTATTCTACCCCGGATCTTTACGGGTCTAATTTTGGGAGGAATGTCTGTCTTAGACTTTACCAATTTGCTGAAACATATGAGCGCGAATTGCAGAATATGGCGTCCACAAATTTGGAAGCATTATCGCATGTTTCCCAGCATGCAACCCTGCATAGTATGTGCTGCTTCGGACACCTGGGTCCCAGGGCAAGTCTGGACCTGACAATCCAGTGACCAACAACATAAGCATCAATCTATACAATTGGGATACAAATACATGCATCAAACAAATCAACAAGTCTGACCACCCGATCCATTCTGCTGCAACTTACAACAAGGATAGGTTGATGGGGACTTACATTCTAACCCTGAATCCCTTGATCCGTGCTTGAGCGGGACTTTCATGATACCAAAGACCATCTGGCAATGGGGGATTATTTCACACAACGGTCACATACCTTCGAGGCTGGAGACGATGTTCCACTCCCCTCCTCATCATTCCACTCCGATGCCCGACTCAGCATCTTCGTGATCAGACTGAAGTTGCGGGCTTGAGCTGCCATGATGGCTGTGCTGCCTGCATAGTTCAACACGTCAGGGTTAGCTCCCCTCTTCAGAAGCATCTCTACCATGTCTATTTCATTGTTCTCAGCCGCGTGGAACATTGGTGTGCGTCCACTCTTGCCATCCTGGGATCAAACAATTAGTCATATCATCATGTTAAATGACTGTTTTGCTTTTTTTTTGTTATTGAACGCCGCACTCAGCAATATTCCTGCTATATGACGGTGGTCTGTAAATTATCGAGTCTGGACCAGACAATCCTATATGTAAACATAAACGTTAACAATGGAATATATAATGCACTAAATGTGAACGTTTAAGTACTGTAGCTAAAATGGATAGAATTATCATAAATATACCCGCATGTTAACAGAAATCTGCGGGCCACAGTAACTTGATAGCAGTCCGCTTTTCCCTGACGACGGTCTGCTATCTATTCATTGACGTCACATTTCTTGTTTGTGACGTCATCCTATAGTATGTTCTATAACGTTGCTATTTGTAACTCAGTGACCTCCGCTGTAAGCTTTTTTTCTCTATACTTTTTTTTATATAAATAAAGTAACGAGCGTGGTTTCTTTAATAAATAATGTCTCTGCTCATCACAATTAATGATATTAAAACACAAAACAGTGTCGAATAACGAATTTCTGTACCAGAACTTCAATGTGAAATATGTGAGGTGGGTGTTTGAAATTCAAAATGGCTGTCACTGACGGTATTTGAGCTCATGTGGGGTCAGTAGTTCTGCTCTCTGCTTGGTCAATCTCACTTTGAGGCATAATAAATCACAATATACAGCAAGGATGATATGGTGAAGTTGACATCAATGATAAGTGAATATATCACAATACACAGCAAAGATGATATGGTGATGTTAACATCTTTCATACAGGAATATATCACAATACACAGCAAGCATGATATAGGGATGTTAACATATTTGATACGGGAATATATCATAATACACCGCAAAGATGATACCAGGGATGTTAACATCTTTGATACAGGAATATATCACAATGCACAGTAAGGAGGATATGGTGATGTTAACATCTTTGATACCGGAATATATCACAATACACCGCAAAGATGATATGGTGATGTTAACATCTTTGATACAGGAATATATCACAATACACAGCAAGGAGGATATGGTGAAGTGGACATCATTTATACAGGAATGTATCACAATACACCGAAAGGATGATATGGTGATGTTAACATCTTTGATACAGGAATATATCACAATACACCGCAAAGATGATATGGTGATGTTAACATCTTTAATGCCGGAATAAATCACAATACACAGCAAGGAGGATATGGTGATTATAACATCATTTATACAGGAATATATCACAATACACAGCTAGGAGGATATGGTGATTATAACATCATTTATACAGGAATATATCACAATACACAGCAAGGAGGATATGGTGAAGTGGACATCATTTATACAGGAATATATCACAATACACAGCAAGAATGATATGGTGATAATAACATCTTTGATACAGGAATATATCACAATACACAGCAAGGAGGATATGGTGAAGTGGACATCATTTATACAGGAATGTATCACAATATACCGAAAGGATGATATGGTGATGTTAACATCTTTGATACAGGAATATATCACAATACACAGCAAGGAGGATATGGTGAAGTGGACATCATTTATACAGGAATGTATCACAATACACCGAAAGGATGATATGGTGATGTTAACATCTTTGATAAGGGAATATATCACAATACACAGCAAGGATGATATGGTGATGTTAACATCTTTCATACAGGAATATATCACAATACACAGCAAGCATGATATAGGGATGTTAACATATTTGATACGGGAATATATCATAATACACCGCAAAGATGATACCAGGGATGTTAACATCTTTGATACAGGAATATATCACAATGCACAGTAAGGAGGATATGGTGATGTTAACATCTTTGATACCGGAATATATCACAATACACCGCAAAGATGATATGGTGATGTTAACATCTTTGATACAGGAATATATCACAATACACAGCAAGGAGGATATGGTGAAGTGGACATCATTTATACAGGAATGTATCACAATACACCGAAAGGATGATATGGTGATGTTAACATCTTTGATACAGGAATATATCACAATACACCGCAAAGATGATATGGTGATGTTAACATCTTTAATGCCGGAATAAATCACAATACACAGCAAGGAGGATATGGTGATTATAACATCATTTATACAGGAATATATCACAATACACAGCAAGGAGGATATGGTGAAGTGGACATCATTTATACAGGAATATATCACAATACACAGCAAGAATGATATGGTGATGATAACATCTTTGATACAGGAATATATCACAATACACAGCAAGGAGGATATGGTGAAGTGGACATCATTTATACAGGAATGTATCACAATACACCGAAAGGATGATATGGTGATGTTAACATCTTTGATACAGGAATATATCACAATACACAGCAAGGAGGATATGGTGAAGTGGACATCATTTATACAGGAATGTATCACAATACACCGAAAGGATGATATGGTGATGTTAACATCTTTGATAAGGGAATATATCACAATACACAGCAAGGATGATATGGTGATGTTAACATCTTTCATACAGGAATATATCACAATACACAGCAAGCATGATATAGGGATGTTAACATATTTGATACGGGAATATATCATAATACACCGCAAAGATGATACCAGGGATGTTAACATCTTTGATACAGGAATATATCACAATGCACAGTAAGGAGGATATGGTGATGTTAACATCTTTGATACCGTAATATATCATAATACACAGCAAGGATGATATGGTGATATTAACATCTTTGATACAGGATTCATAATACACAGCAAGGATAATATGGTGAAGTGGACATCATTTATACAGGAATATATCACGATACACAGCAAGCATGATATGGTGATTATAACACCATTTTACAGGAATATATCAAAATACACAACAAGGATGATATGGTGATGTTGAGTTCCTTGAAAAAAGCATGATATGATGATGTCAAAATGTACATGAATATTCACCAATCAATGATGTTGAAAGTATGCTCTTATAATCATATTCACATTCTTTCATATCTAAATCAGATATATAAAGAATTCCTTCAAGACAAATGTAATAAATCTGCAATCCAAGTTTATAATCAAACCATGTTATAATTTTGATTCAAGACGGTAGGGGTGGAATTCAAAATCTCGTGCTCGCTAACGCTACACAAAGATCTGTTGACATCCAATTACAAGTCACGTAACAGGAAGTCGATATAAGCCAGAAAGAAGATTTCTCGAACTTTCAGGCAGTAGTTTCAAACTGGCGACTCCCATTCCTCAATACACTTTAAAATATTTTGACAAAGTTCTCTATTCAAAACTTAAAAACTAAACAGAAGAAAAATCTGGAATCTCTCATCGATGACAGAGATTGTATCGCAGTTCTTCCCACCGGCTATATGGAAGGTCTCGCTCCGTTTCCAATATCCATCCACCTAGAGTGAGTGAGTGAGTGAGTGAGTGTGGTTTTACGCCGCATTTAGCAATATTCCAGCAACATCACGGCCGGGGACACCAGAAATGGGCTTCACACATTGTACCCGGCCCATGTCGGGAATCGAACCCCGGTCTTCGGCGTGACGAGCGAACGCTTTAACCACTAGGCTACCCGACCGCCCCCTATCCCACTAGAGCGACAAGTCAACCATGATGTTAATTTAGCTTGTAACTGTCGCTCGGAATGCGTCGTGTTAACATTTTCGAGGTTACATGATTAGTAAACTAATGCAAACTTTCACTGATTGGTCGGATGAAAAGACTTCTGACGTGAACCCATGTGGGATGTCCTCAGGTCTTTGTGTCGTGGTAGCGAGCGATAGGATCTGATTTTAATGAGATTGTTAGGAACATAAAACAAAACTTATGTGGGAGGAAAGTTAACTTTTTATTCTTCGGGGAAACGATCTGCTTGAGATGAATTAAAAACAAATTTTATGAAGACGAATATCTGATTTTGTAATCGTAAAAATATTCTTTAAAAAAGAAACACTTTAAACCCCCGAATGAGGATAACGATATCAAATGATATGAAAGAACTGTTAATACGTCAACATATATGCATTAATCAAATGCAGTGGTTGAGTATATCCTAGATCTAATTCAGAGATGTATTTGCTCATAAATGGCGATCCTCCAATCCCCTCCGCAAGTGTTCGCTGGGTCCGCTGCACAGGGGAAGTTGCACTGGTCATTGGCCACCCGTGCGTAGCCACTCTTGATCATGTTACCGCAGCGACATTCTCGTCCCGCCTTCAAAACAAAGCATGCGACTGACAAATTTGGAGATTTATTTAACGGTATTGATTTAATGGGAGTGAGTAAGTCCAAAGTTCAAATGTCATAGTGGCTGTGTTAATGTGTCATCAGTTAACTCACATCCACTTCAGTTGAGGGTGTCCACAAATACAACTACATTATAATCCTGCTCAGCCAGTCAGTCAGTACCTAGGTTGATAGGAGGGTAGGTGGATAGTTATAAATACAATATTAGAATCCTACTCAGCCAGTCAGTCAGTACCTAGGTTGATAGGAGGGTAGGTGGATAGTTATAAATACAATATTAGAATCCTGCTCAGTCAGTCAGTCAGTACCTAGGTTGATAGGAGGGTAGGTGTATAGTTATAAATACAATATTATAATCCTGCTCAGCCAGTCAGTCAGTGCGGAAGTAGGTAGGAGGGTAGGTGGATAGTTATAAATACAATATTAGAATCCTACTCAGCCAGTCAGTCAGTACGTTGGTTGATAGGAGGGTAGGTGGATAGTTATAAATACAATATTAGAATCCTGCTCAGTCAGTCTGTCAGTACCTAGGTTGATAGGAGGGTAGGTGTATAGTTATAAATGCAATATTATAATCCTGCTCAGCCAGTCAGTCACTACGTAGGTAGGTAGGAGGGTAAGTGGATAGTTATAAATACAATATTAGAATCCTCCTCAGCCATTCAGTCAGTAGGTGGGTAGGTAGGAGGATAGGTGGACAGATATAAATACATTATCATAATCCTGCTCAGCCAGTCAGTCAGTACGTAGGTAGGTAGGAGGGTAGGTGGATAGTTATAAATACAATATTAGAATCCTGCTCAGCCAGTCAGTCAGTACGTAGGTAGGTAGGAGGGTAGGTGGACAGATATAAATACATTATCATAATCCTCCTCAGCCAGTCAGTCAGTACGTAGGTAGGTAGGAGGGTAGGTGGATACTTATCAATACAATATTATAATCCTGCTCAGCCAGTCAGTCAGTACGTAGGTAGGAGGGTAGGAGGGTAGGTGGATAGTTATGAATACAATATTAGAATCCTGCTCAGCCAGTCAGTCAGTATGTAGGTAGGTAGGAGGATAGGTGGACAGATATAAATACATTATCATAATCCTGCTCAGCCAGTCAGTCAGTACGTAGGTAGGTAGGAGGGTAGGTGGATACTTATCAATACAATATTATAATCCTGCTCAGCCAGCCAGTCAGTACGTACGTAGGAGGGTAGGAGGGTAGGTGGATAGTTATAAATACAATATAAGAATCCTTTTCAGCCAGTCTGTCAGTACCTAGGTTGATAGGAGGGTAGGTGTATAGTTATAAATACAATATTATAATCCTTTTCAGCCAGTCAGTCAGTACGTAGGTAGGTAGGAGGGTAGGTGGATAATTATGAATACAATATTAGAATCCTTCTCAGCCAGTCAGTCAGTACGTAGGTAGGTAGGAGGATAGGTGGACAGATATAAATACAATATTAGAATCCTGCTCAGCCAGCCAGTCAGTATGAAGGTAGGTAGGAGGGTAGGTTGATAGTTATAAATACAATATTATAATCGTGCTCAGCCAGTCAGTGCCTAGGTTGGTAGGAGGGTAGGTGGATAGTTATAAATACAAAATTATAATCCTGCATAGCTAGTCAGTCAGTACGTACGTACATGTAGGTAGGTAGAAGGGTAGCTGGATAGTTATAAATACAATATTATAACCCTGCTCAGCCAGTCAGTCAGTACGTAGGTAGGTAGGAGGGTAGGTGGATAGTTATAAAAACAATATTAGAATCCTGCTCAGCAAGTCAGTCAGTACGTAGATAGGTAGGAGGGTAGCTGGATAGTTATAAATACAATATTATAATCCTACTCAGCCAGTCAGTACGTAGGTAGGTAGGAGGATAGGTGGATAGATATAAATACAATATTAGAATCCTGCACAGCTAGTCAGTCAGTACGTAGATAGGTTGGAGGGTAGTTGGATAGTTATAAATACAATATTATAAACCTTCTTAGCCAGTCAGTCAGTACGTAGGTAGGTAGGAGGGTAGGGGGATAGTTATAAATACAATATTAGCATCCTGCTCAGCCAGTCAGTCAGTACCTAGGTAGGTAGGAGGGTAGATGTATAGTTATAAAAACAATATTTTAATCCTTCTCAGCCAGTCAGTCACTACGTAGGTAGGTAGGAGGGTAGCTGGATAGTTATAAATACAATATTATAATCCTGCTCAGCCAGTCAATCAGTACGTAGATAAGTTGGAGTGTAGGTGGATAGTTATAAAAACAATATTATAATCCTTCTCAGCCAGTCAGTCAGTACGTAGGTAGGTAGGAGGGTAGCTGGATAGTTATAAATACAATATTAGAATCCTGCTCAGCCAGTCAGTCAGTACGTAGGTAGGTAGGAGGGTAGGTGGATAGTTATAAATACAATATTAGCATCCTGCTCAGCCAGTCAGTCAGTACGTAGGTAGGTAGGAGGGTAGATGTATAGTTATAAAAACAATATTTTAATCCTTCTCAGCCAGTCAGTCACTACGTAGGTAGGTAGGAGCGTAGCTGGATAGTTATAAATACAATATTAGAATCCTGTTCAGCCAGTCAGTCAGTACGTAGGTAGGTAGGAGGGTAGCTGGATAGTTATAAATACAATATTATAATCCTGCTCAGCCAGTCAATCAATACGTAGATAGGTTGGAGGGTAGTTGGATAGTTATAAATACAATGTTATAATCCTTCTCAGCCAGTCAGTCAGTACGTAGGTAGGTAGGAGGGTAGCTGGATAGTTATAAATACAATATTAGAATCCTGCTCAGCCAGTCTGTCAGTACGTAGGTAGGTAGGAGGGTAGCTGGATAGTTATAAATACAATATTAGAATCCTGCTCAGCCAGTCAGTCAGTACGTAGGTAGGTAGGAGGGTAGGGGGATAGTTATAAATACAATATTAGCATCCTGCTCAGCCAGTCAGTCAGTAACTAGGTAGGTAGGAGGGTAGAGGTATAGTTATAAAAACAATATTTTAATCCTTCTCAGCCAGTCAGTCACTACGTAGGTAGGTAGGAGGGTAGCTGGATAGCTATAAATACAATATTATAATCCTGCTCAGCCAGTCAATCAGTACGTAGATAAGTTGGAGTGTAGTTGGATAGTTATAAAAACAATATTATAATCCTTCTCAGCCAGTCAGTCAGTACGTAGGTAGGTAGGAGGGTAGGTGGATAGTTATAAATACAATATAAGAATCCTGCTCAGCCAGTCAGTCAGTACGTAGGTAGGTAGGAGGGTAGGTGGATAGTTATAAATACAATATTAGAATCCTGCTCAGCCAGTCAGTAAGTAGGTAGGTAGGAGGGTAGTTGGATAGTTATAAACACAATATCAGAATCCTGCTCAGCCAGTCAGTCAGTACGTAGGTAGGTAGGAGGGTAGTTGGATAGTTATAAATACAATATTATAATCCTGTTCAGTCAGTACGTAGGTATGTAGGAGGGTAGGTTGATAGTTATAAATACAATATTAGAATCCTGCACAGCTAGTCAGTCAGTACGTAGGTAGGTAGGAGGGTAGGTGGATAGTTCTAAATACAAAATGATGATACTGTTCAGCCAGTCAGTCAGTACGTAGGTAGGAGGGTAGGTTGATAGTTATAAATACAATATTATAATCCTGCTCAGCCAGTCAGTCAGTACGTAGGTAGGTAGGAGGGTAGGTTGATAGTTATAAATACAATATTATAATCCTGTTCAGTCAGTACGTAGGTAGGTAGGAGGGTAGGTAGATAGTTATAAATACAATATTATAATCCTGCTCAGTACAAAGTACCACCCACCTCTAGTCCAAAGAAGGAGTAGTATTTCTGAATGCAGTAAAGTTGACACAGTTCAACCGTCATCGTTCCATCTTGGAATTTGTCGTCGGGAAGTACCCGGTCGAAGTCATCGATGTAGCAGCCCCTATATACAGGATCTACATGAGAAACATTAGATATTATATGTTCACATATCAGCCCCTATATACAGGATCTACAAGAAGAACATTAGACATTACATGTTCACATAGCAGCCCTATAACAGGATCTACAAGGGAAACATCAGACATTACATGTTCACATAGCAGCCCCTATATACAGGATCTACAAGGGAAACATTAGACATTACATGTTCACATAGCAGCCCTATATACAGGACCCACAAGGGAAACATTAGACATTACATGTTCACATAGCAGCCCTATACACAGGACTAAAAGGGAAACATTATACATGACATGTTCACATTGCAGCCCTATAGACAGGACCCACAAAGGAAACATTAGACATTACATATTCACATAGCAGCCCCTATATACAGGATCTACAAGGGAAACATCAGACATTACAGGTTCACATAGCAGCCCTATATACAGGACAACAAGGGAAACATCAGACATTACATGTTCACATAGCAGCCCTATACACAGGACTACAAGGAAAACATCAGACATTACATGTTCACATATCAGCCCTATATACAGGATTTCAAGGGAAACATTAGACATTACATGTTCACATAGCAGCCCTATACACAGGACTACAAGGGAAACATTAGACATTACATGTTCACATAGCAGCCCCTATTTACAGGACTACAAGGAAAACATTAGACATTATATGTTCACATATCACCCCTATACACAGGACTACAAAGGAAACATTAGATATTACATGTTCACATAGCAGCCCCTATACACAGGACTACAAGGGAAACATTAGACATTACATGTTCACATAGCAGCCCCTATATACAGGATCTACAAGGGAAACATTAGACATTACATGTTCACATAACAGCCTCTATACACAGGACTAAAAGGGAAACATTAGACATTACATGTTCACATAGCAGCCCTATATACATGACTACAAGAGAAACATTAGACATTACATGTTCACATAGCAGCCCCTATACACAGGACTAAAAGAAAACATTAGACATTAAATGTTCACATATCAGCCCGGATACCCAGGACTACAAGTGAAACATTAGACATTACATGTTCACATAGCAGCCCCTATATACAGGACTACAAGGAAAACATTAGACATTACATGTTCACATAGCAGCCCTATACACAGGACTACAAGGGAAACATTAGACATTACATGTTCACATAGCAGCCCCTATATAAAGGATCTACAAGGGAAACATTAGACATTACATGTTCACATAGCAGCCCTATATACAGGACTAGCAGGGAAACATTTGACATTTAATGTTCACATAGCAGCCCTATACACAGGACTAAAAGGAAAACATTAGACATTACATGTTCACATAGCAGCCCTATACACAGGACTAAAAGGAAAACATTTGACATTACATGTTCACATAGCAGCCCTATATACAGGACTACAAGGGAAACATTAGACATTACATGTTCACATAGCAGCCCCTATATACAGGATCTACAAGGTAAACATTAGACATTACATGTTCACATAGCAGCCCTATACACAGGACCCACAAGAGAAACATTAGACATTTAATGTTCACATAGCAGCCCTATAGACAAGACTACAAGGGAATGATTTGACATTTAATGTTCACATAGCAGCCCTATATACAGGACTACAAGGAAAATATTAGACATTAAATGTTCACATACAGCAGCCCTATATACAGGACTACAAGGGAAACATTAGACATTACATGTTCACATAACAGCCCTATACACAGGACTACAAGGGAAACATTAGACATTACATGTTCACATAGCAGCCCTATACACAGGACTACAAATGAAACATTAGACATTACATGTTCACATAGCAGCCCTATACACAGGACTACAAGGGAAACATTAGACATTACATGTTCACATAGCAGCCCTATACACAGGACTACAAGGGAAACATTAGACATTACATGTTCACATAGCAGCCCCTATTTACAGGACTACAAGGAAAACATTAGACATTATATGTTCACATATCACCCCTATACACAGGACTACAAAGGAAACATTAGACATTACATGTTCACATAGCAGCCCCTATACACAGGACTACAAGGGAAACATTAGACATTACATGTTCACATAGCAGCCCCTATATACAGGATCTACAAGGGAAACATTAGACATTACATGTTCACATAACAGCCTCTATACACAGGACTAAAAGGGAAACATTAGACATTACATGTTCACATAGCAGCCCTATATACATGACTACAAGAGAAACATTAGACATTACATGTTCACATAGCAGCCCCTATACACAGGACTAAAAGAAAACATTAGACATTAAATGTTCACATATCAGCCCGGATACCCAGGACTACAAGTGAAACATTAGACATTACATGTTCACATAGCAGCCCCTATATACAGGACTACAAGGAAAACATTAGACATTACATGTTCACATAGCAGCCCTATACACAGGACTACAAGGGAAACATTAGACATTACATGTTCACATAGCAGCCCCTATATAAAGGATCTACAAGGGAAACATTAGACATTACATGTTCACATAGCAGCCCTATATACAGGACTAGCAGGGAAACATTTGACATTTAATGTTCACATAGCAGCCCTATACACAGGACTAAAAGGAAAACATTAGACATTACATGTTCACATAGCAGCCCTATACACAGGACTAAAAGGAAAACATTTGACATTACATGTTCACATAGCAGCCCTATATACAGGACTACAAGGGAAACATTAGACATTACATGTTCACATAGCAGCCCCTATATACAGGATCTACAAGGTAAACATTAGACATTACATGTTCACATAGCAGCCCTATACACAGGACCCACAAGAGAAACATTAGACATTTAATGTTCACATAGCAGCCCTATAGACAAGACTACAAGGGAATGATTTGACATTTAATGTTCACATAGCAGCCCTATATACAGGACTACAAGGAAAATATTAGACATTAAATGTTCACATACAGCAGCCCTATATACAGGACTACAAGGGAAACATTAGACATTACATGTTCACATAACAGCCCTATACACAGGACTACAAGGGAAACATTAGACATTACATGTTCACATAGCAGCCCTATACACAGGACTACAAATGAAACATTAGACATTACATGTTCACATAGCAGCCCTATACACAGGACTACAAGGGAAACATTAGACATTACATGTTCACATAGCAGCCCTATACACAGGACTACAAGGGAAACAATAGACATTACATGTTCACATAGCAGCCCTATGCACAAGACTACAAGGGAAACATTAGACATTACATGTTCACATAGCAGCCCCTACTTACAGGACCAACAAAGGAAACATTAGACATTTAACGTTCACACAGGAGCTCTTATATACAGGATTACAAGGAAAACATTAGACATTTAATGTTCACATAGCAGCCCTATATACAGGACTACAAGGAAAACATTTGACATTACATGTTCACATAGCAGCCCTATATACAGGACTACAAGGGAAACATTAGACATTACATGTTCACATAGCATCCCCTATATACAGGACTACAAGGAAAACATTTGACATTACATGTTCTCATAGCAGCCCTATACACAGGACCCACAAGAGAAACATTAGACATTTAATGTTCACATAGCAGCCCTATACCCAGGACAACAAGGAAAACATTTGACATTACATGTTCACATAGCAGCCCCTATATACAGGACTACAAGGGAAACATTAGACATTACATGTTCACATAGCAGCCCTATATACAAGACTACAAGGGAAACATCAGACATTACATGTTCACATAGCAGCCCCTATATACAGGATCTACAAGGGAAACATTAGACATTACATGTTCACATAGCAGCCCTATACACAGGACCCACAAGAGAAACATTAGACATTTAATGTTCACATAGCAGCCCTATATACAGGACTACAAGGAAAACATTAGATATTATATGTTCACATATCAGCCCCTATATACAGGATCTACAAGAAGAACATTAGACATTACATGTTCACATAGCAGCCCCTATATAAAGGATCTACAAGGGAAACATTAGACATTTAATGTTTACATAGCAGCCCCTCTATACAGGACTGCAAGGGAAACATTAGATATCACATGTTCACATAGCAGCCCCTATATACAGGACTACAAGTGAAACATTGGACATTACATGTTCACATATCAGCCCCTATATACAGGACTACAAGGGAAACATTAGACATTTAATGTTCACATAGCAGCCCCTATATACAGGACTACAAGGAAAACATTTGACATTACATGTTCACATAGCAGCCCTATATACAGGACTACAAGGGAAACATCAGACATTACATGTTCACATAGCAGCCCTATACACAGGACTACAAGGAAAACTTTAGCCATTATATGTTCACATAACAGCCCCTATATACAGGATTACAAGCAAAACATTAGACATTAAATGTTCACATAACAGCCCCTATATACAGGACTACAAGGGAAACATCAGACATTACATGTTCACATAGCAGCCCTATATACAGGATTACAAGGAAAACTTTAGCCATTATATGTTCACATAACAGCCCCTATATACAGGACTACAAGGGAAACATCAGACATTACATGTTCACATAGCAGCCCTATATACAGGATTACAAGGAAAACATTAGACAATAAATGTTCACATAGCAACCCCTATACACAGGACCCACAAGGGAAACATTAGACATTACATGTTCACATAGCAGCCCTATATACAGTACTACAAGGGAAACATTAGACATTAAATGTTCACATATCAGCCCTATACACAGGACCCACAAGGGAAACATTAGACATTACATGTTCACAAAGCAGCCCCTATACACAGGACTACAAGGAAAACATTAGACATTACATGTTCACATAGCAGCCCTATATACAGGACTACAA